CTTCTCAGAGATCCTGTATGGGGTTTCTAAGGATCAGCTGGTGAGTTTGAACTGCCAACCGTTCAGTTCAAACTGACCTTGTGATCCAGTGCTTATCCTGCAGTGCTACGCCAGGACTCCATAGGGTACCACATACTGCTTACATTTCATTTAAAATTTTTTGTATTAAAAAAGAACTTCAGATTTTAATTAGAGGTAACAATTGTAGAACCTGAAGTAGAAGATACATTTCATTTTTTCCTTATATTTGAAGATTTTTATAATGATAAATTGTGAAGGACTTTTATTTAAGATTCTAATTAAAAGCTTTTATTAGTTGCTTGATTTTTATTGACCACCTGAAACAAAAAACTAAACCATTGCCATCAAGTTGATTCCAAGCAGTAAGTATTGAGTATCTGTTAAGTATAAGATATCACATGATCAGATCCTTTGTGGGCACAGAAACACATAAGACGTGGTTCCTTTCTTTAAGAAGTTTGTAATGTACATCAGGAGTCCTGGTGTAGTGCTGTAGAATAAGCACTGGACTGTTAATTGAATAGTAAATGGTTCAAATCCATCCTACTCCTCAGAAACCCAGAGCAGGGTGGCTTTGCTTCAGAACCCATTTGGTGGTACTAACCAGCAGAAGCAGTATGTGTAAGGGGAGAGGAGTTTTACAGAAATAAGATGTTTTAGCAGAGTGGATATAGTAAGGTATTAAAACATCTATTAGAAATTAGATGTTGTTACAAAATCCTGGTTTGGCTCTGTAGGATAAGTACTGGCTTGCTAACCACAAGGTCAATGGTTCAAATTCTCCAACCGCTCCTTGGAAACCCTATACATGGTCACTATGAGTCAGGAACAACTCATAAGTACTTACCAACAGCAATAACCTATTATGATAAAGACATTTATTTATATATAATTTGATTTGGGTGAAATTTTGTAGGGCCAATTTTGTATTCAATAGTTCGTACGCATTTTGTTTCATGATATTGATTCCAGTCTCTACAATGTAACAGCATTCTTCCCACTTCCTCCCTTGTGATTACTATTTCCCTTCCTCCTCCTTTCCTTTGCTTTCTCAGCTTTATCCCTGAGCACATGCTCCCCATTTGATTTCATCTTGTGGATTGTTCTAAAAAAGTGAATATCTTCTTAGTGTTATTGTCCCCCTTTTAGGCCTTGGGGTGATCTCAGTTCCGGACCTAAAGGGTGACTAGGGACCAAAGCATCAAGGGTTCCACCAGTCTCAGATCTGTAAGCTGGTCTTTTTATGGTTTTTTTCATCCTACATTTTTCTTGTATTTTATCCAGGACCTCCTATTGTTATCCCTTTCAGAGTGGTCAGCCATGGTAGCCAGCCAGGTACCATTTGGTTCTTCTAGTGTCAGGGTAATGGAAGCGTGATCCTTCAGTCCTTTGGAGTAACTGTTTTCTTGCAAGTTTTATTTTCTTCAGTCTTCTTTTCTCCGGACAAGGACAAACCAATAGTTGCACCTTAGAAAGCCACTTACAACCTTTTAAGACCCAGTTGTTACTCACCAGTGTAGGCTGTAGAACACTGGCTCTGTGAACTCTTGTAATGCCAGTTGACCTTGGTATCCCCTGAGACTATCTATGATCCTGAGCCCCCATCCCAGTGACATGATGGCAAAGATTTTGAACAAATAGTTCTATCCTATTTTGGGAGATCAGTAAGGTGCCAGAAGAATTTTAACTAGTGATAGCTTTATAGTAATTGATTAATTTTAATTAACTTATTGAAACCAAAAGGGAAAATACTGTTTGAGATAGTTGATAATGAATTCTAACTACTTAGGACTTTTTGTCCTAAAACAAATTAATGTGTGTGAGAGAGAATTTGTTTTAGAATTTGTTTTATTCTTAAAGGTGAATCACATTTCATGTGATCTTTTTTTTTTTAAGTTTAAAATGTCTTGAAAAAACAAACACATTTAAATTAGATACATTTATAAAATGTGTTATAGCAGAACACTTACTAAAAAAAATTGTGTTCATGAATGGTGAAATTGGAACTTGAACTGCTAGGTCATTTATTTTTAGTTCAAGTTAATATTCTATTCAGCTCTTACCTCCAGATTGCCTAGTCTCTCATAATGATGTTGTTGCAGTTAGGGACCTTTAAGTCAGGTCTGCTGAGTCAGCTCCAACTCCTACTGACCCCTGTGTACACCAGAGTGGAACCCTACCTGGTTTGCACCATACTCCCAATTGTTGCCGTGTTTGAGCCCATTGTTCCAGTCACTGTGTTAACCCATCTTATATCGAGCTATGAGTGCTTGTTTGATATACTCAAATTAAGTCATTGTTTTTCTGAAGTCACATATCATATTTTACTAGTGTAAATGTTCAGTGCCATCAAGTAGGTCCTGACTCACAGCGACCCTGTATAGGGTTTCCGAGGAACAGTTTGTAGGTTTGAAGAGTTGATTTTGAAGTTAATAGTCTAGTGTTTATTCTAAAGCTCCACACCAGACTCCTTTTTTTTCCCCCCAGTAGGGTGGAGTCCTGGTGTGGTACTGTACAGGTTAAAGCACTGGACCACAAGGTTGGCTTTAATCACAAGATTTGTGATTCAAACTCACCAGCTGCTCCTTGGAAACCCTATACAGGATCTCTATGAGTTGAAACTGACTTGATGGCATCTGGTAGCATAGTGGTTACGAATCGGGCTGCTAATATCAAAGTCAGCTGTTCGAAACTACCAGCGGTTCCATGGGCAAAAGATGAGGATTTCTGCTCCTGTAAAGATTCACAGCCTTGGAAACTGTTGTACAGGGTCACTGTGAGTCAGAACCGACTCTATAGCACATAACCAACTACCAACAACAAAAGGGCATTTTACTAGGGTATTTTAAATTTGTTGACCCTGTGTTATTTCTAGGGGAACAATGCTATATTGTCTAAGAATACGGCAAACTTTTATGTTAAAGGATTTGACTCTTGGCTCTTAACGTCCTTGTTGTGAGATCTGAGGTATACCATTTTATTTCTCAGTGTCCTCATCTATGAAAGGAATTTAACAATAACTTGTCTTGCTGGGTTCCTGTAAGATATGGAATAATTCCTAGAAAGAACTTATCACAGTTCTTGGTACATGATAACTATGTAAATGTTCTTTATTGTTATTTCTATAAATATGCAGTTGACTTGGAGCCCTTGTATTTGTAATGCCTGAAATGGTAGCTATAGAATATATTATAATAATTTCACTCTTTATTTTCTTCCTTTTATGACTTGTCTGAAAATAACAAGATGTAGTTATTGTGTTGACCTTGAAGTCAGCTTATTACTCAAGAACAAAGTTTAGTTCAAAGTCAACACAAGTAGTACGTGAAATTACAGTTTAGGTTTCTGTGACTCGAGTGTACTCTCTTCTCTACTATGCTGTGCTATTTGCTTTCTGAATGTTTATGTCTGTGTGTGTATGTGTGATATATATATGTAGTAGTAAGTTTGCGTTGCATCATTTTATTTAGTCTAAGATATGAATATTCTTTATGAAATTAACAGAGGTGATAAGTCTCTGTCTTTTTATTTCTAAGGTGCTTCTTAACCATTGGTCTTAATGTGCATATCATTGATAAAGTCTATGTCACTGAATCAGCAGGAAACACTCAACTATAATAGAAACATAACTACATTCTCAGTGATGGTCAGTGGTACAGCAGCAACAGCTACTGTTTATAATAAGTCACATACTGAAATAAATTTTTCCATTACTTTGTCATTTGCTCTGCAATGATCTTATGAAAAATTCATACTGTTATTTGTCTGCATTTTACTGATGAGAAAACTTGGCTCAGTTCAGCTGCTTATTTGTAGGAAATCAATTCAAACTGAGGTGTGTCGAATGCCAGTACCTAAAGTGCTATTCAAACTTACTTTGTATTATTATAGTAAATGTCATCTTAATTCACAAATGCTTGGACAATGGGGTGTTTGAATTAATTGAACAACTAAATATTTTTAAGTGTCTTTGAATCAGTTTTGACTTATAATGACCCTGTATATGATTTCCAAGGAACAACTTTTGGGTTTGAACTGTTGACCTATGGTTATCTGTTTCATGGATTAACACTTTTCAGACTCAAAATCCTTTGAAATCCAAAACTTACATACTATTTGAGTTTTCTTCTAATTATTAGGCAGACTTAGCATTATACATATCAGCTACAAGTAAAGCAATAAAATAGTTTGACTGATTGTATGATGGGAGAACTGCTTGAAAACTATTTTTCCTTGGGTACTTGAGAGAGAATGGAAGAAAGAAGATGGTGACAAAGGAAGTATGTTTGAGTAGGATAAAGTAAGCTGTAAATGATATCTAAGAGAGGCAGATGGGGAGCAGCTTCACGTAGTGGTACCATTATCAATTACTGCCCAAAACAAGATGAGGGATGAGGTGAAATGAGAGAGTGTGTGGATTAGTGTAAATTATTCATATGTTTACAAGTTAGGTTTTATATTAACCAAGTACTCCATAGCATATAACTGTACTTTCAAAAAACGTTTAAGTATTTTGTAATTTGGGCTATATCATTATGAACATTTTGAATTTTAAATATTTTAACTTTTTAAAAAAACATTTTATTGTGAATTATGTGATAGTTTACGTGGGAGAACAGTTAGCTTTACATTCATCCTATCATATTTCATTATAAATATTTTAACTTTTATTTGTATTAAATACAAATATAGAACACATTCTTCACAGTTATTACATACCTCTGATACCAGAGTTGAAAGAAAGGGATTTTGTTTCCTTTAGATGAGTGCCTTCTGGTCTTGTACATTTAAAAAATACTTAGATTTATGAATCATGAGGAAACCAACTTTTAGGTATCAAAAAGTATTACATTGGTGCTAACATTTTCATGGCATTCTTTTAGCTTTTGTGGGGGGAAAGACTCTTATAACACTGAAATAAAATTTTATAGCTTACTTACAGATCTTGATTTAAACTTGTTACATAATTCTTTTATTAGGAAGTGGCCGTTTTTGTCTTTGATAAAAAACTGATCGACAAATATCAAAAATTTGAAAAAGATCAAATCATTGATACCCTAAAAAGAGGAGTTCAACAGTTAACTCGGCTACGACACCCTCGTCTTCTTACTGTCCAGCATCCTTTGGAAGAATCCAGGTAAATTTTTATAACATTTATGTAGGTGACTTCTTAAATGAACTATTTAACTTAATACTTGAACTGTATGTATAATATATTGTCAGTGAAAATTTTGAATAAACAAGTATTGGGTTCTTATGGAAAATTAGTTACCTCTCTAAGATTTATTTGTGTTGTCTATGTATATGTCTCTTGGTTCCATGGGAGAGAGATGAAACTTTCTGTTACTGTAAAGCTTTACAGCCTCAGAAACCCTATACAGGGTTGCCATGAATCAGAACCAACTCCATGGCACACCACCACCACCACCACCACCATGTGTATGTCTCTTAGTGGAATATTCATAAAGACTTTTTCACACTTGCCATAGGTCTATATCTTATGCTTAGCATTATAATGGTCAAAATCAAAGATGCGCAGGAACTATAGAACACAGTTCCTGCCTGAAAGTCTTTGCTAATTTGCTGAAATTAGCTGTCCTTGTTAAATTGCTCGAATTTCTTGTCTCGTTTTGTTCTTTCAGTATTAGGGCGTTTTTCATTTATGTGTGTGTCTGGCACTATTCTAGACATTTAATTCTCTACTGTGCGCAGCATGTCAGGCAGTAGCCCTCATCTACTTCACGATCTTATTTGTCCTAAGTATGAGTTATGATATGTTGCTGAGGATGACAAGAGAATGAAATTTTGAGTGATTGTAACTGGCGACTTCTGGTGTGGTGCTGTAGGATCAGCACTGGACTGCAAACCACGAGGTCAGCAGTTCAAACTCACCAGCTGCTCCTTGGAAACCCTATACAGGTCATCACTATGAATTGGAACTGACTGGACAGCACTTACCAACAACAGTCATAACTGGAATATAAGTAGGATCTACTCGACAACACCTAACAACAACAAATCATAACTGGACCCTCAAGCCTGTAGTGCTTTTAATTCTTTATGTAGCTGCTCTACTGTTACAAACCTTTTCACAGTACTTATATTTCAAATTGTGTGCCTTTCTTCACATATTGTATTGTTGTTAGGTGCTACCAAGTTGGCTCCAACTCATAGTGACCCTGTGCACAACAGAACAGAACGCTGCCAGGTCCTGTGCCACCCTCACGAAGCACATTGTTGCTACCACTGGGTCATTCTACCTCAGTGGGGATGGGGAATGGCTTCCTTTTTTTTTGTTGGTCCTATACTTTACCAAGCATGATGTCCTTCTCCAGACTCCAGGGACTGGTCCTTCTGTTAACATGTCCATAGCATGTGAGACAGAGTCTCACCATCTTCATTTCTAAAGACAATTCCAAGACAGATCTGTTTGTTCTTATGGCAGTCAATGGTATTTTTATATTCTTCTCCAGCACCATAATTCAAATACATTGATTCTTCTTGAAAAGGTTAACTCTCAAACCAAACCCATTTCCATTCATAGAGACCCTATTGGACAGAGTAGAACTGCCCCATGGGGTTTCCAAGGCTGTAAATATTTACAGAAGCAGACTCTACTACATCTTTCTTCCATGCACAGGCTGGTGGGTTTGAACTGCCAACTTCAGTTAGCAGCCAAACACTTTAACCATGACAACACCAGGCCCCCTCTACTATGCTACCAGGGCTTGCATATTATACCACACCCTCTCTTAATCCAAAGATCTAAATTGTTGCTGTTGTTAAGTGCTGTCGAATTGATTCCAACTCATAACAACCCTGTATAAGGAGCAGCTGGTGGGTTTGAACTGTAGACCTTGTGGTTCCTGGTCCAGTGCTTACCTTAGAGTGCCATGCCAGGATTCTAAATTGTGCTCTGCACAATTTAAGGATAGGTAAGAAGTAGACAAATTGAAGATGGAGGACTTGGAACTGACAGGGTTCCAGGCTTTCCTTCTCGCTTCATCCAACATGGTTTTCCTTCATCTGTTTTATAAAATGGGCTGATACTGGCCATTTTGAATTTGCCATGATTTCTTATGCCGGGAATGACAAATTGAGCATCATCAAAAAGAACTTTGCAAGATCTGTCTTGAAGTATAATACTGTTTATGATAGAATAGTATCAATATGCTACAAGGGAGACCAGTTAATACCACTAATATTCAAATTTATGCACCATCAATTAAACTGATGATGAAATTGGGGAATTCTGTCAACTTCTTCAGTCTGAAATTGATCAAACATGCAATCAAGATGTACTGATAATTACTGGTGATTGGAATGCTAAAGTTGGAAACAGAGGAGAAGGATCTATAGTTGGAAAATAAGACTTTGGTGATCGAAATGATATTGTGGACGTAGCATGATAGAATTTTGCAAGACCAATGACTTGTTCATTGTAATGCCTTTTTTTTTTCTTAAATATTTTATTGTGAATTATGTGATAGTTTACATGGAAGAATATTAGTTTTACATTCATTCTATCATATATCGTCTCATTGCCATGGTTACAATCCCCTCCATGCAATCCTTCCCCGTACCCCCCAAGTCTTCAACACACAGTCGCTCTCCCTCTCTGGATCTAAAGTCTCCAGTTGCTCCATCGCTCCACGTCATCATCTCTGGC